CTCCTCTCCTCTCCTCTCTCTCCCTATGCTTCTATATGCCACCATTACACATTACTAACTTTGTGTCTCCTCTCTTCCGTAGTGTGTCCTCTCCCTCTCCCTGTACCTTTCTGCAGGTTGCCCTGGCCCTGGAGCTCTATGTTTCTGATGAGCAGTCACCAGCCACATCGACCTGATCAGTGTTTGATTGTTTGTTGTGTCCTGTTGCTTTTCTTTTTTTGTCTCTCCTTTATCCACTCACCCCAACCGGTCGAGGCAGAAGGCCGCCCACCAAGAGCCGGGGTCTGTCGGAGGTTTCTTTGTTTAAAGGTAGGGTTGTAGATCCTGGAAAAAGCAGTGAGAGGAAGCTTGATTTTGAAAGCAGACAACTTAAGAAATCCCACCTTTTCATTCTGATTTCTCTACAAAGCCACTGCCGCAAAACACAACACAATGCCTGAATACTACTTGCAGAATTCAGGAAAATAACAAATGTCCCCAAACAAAACCTCACCGATAACGACCTGTCCAGCAGAAACACGGCCACCATGGCGTCACTGTTCAGCCCTTTTGGTTCTCTCAGTTGTCGCCATCATTCAGAAGCCACACCGATATCTGGTTTCTTTTTAGTTGTAACTTTCTCGAATATGGTGTTACCCACCCAGATCTGTGGTCGTGACCGTAGCCGGGGACCTCTGGTTCATGACTAAACTGCTTTAGCCCTGGCTCATAGCCAAACTTAGAAGTCCGGGCCTTGTGAAGAAAGAGGCCGGCTAGCTCTGTTCAAAACACAGGATTTGCTCTGTCTTGGAAACACAAACACTGCATGTGGCCTTTGATGCCCAGTTGACACCTAAATCCACTGAACTGAGTCAACAGCCTTTAAACTTGTGTCTATTTATGCACAAGTCTTACTTGCAATTCAGTGCTCGTGTTAATGTCTGAAGTAAGTAGTTGTTTTGTTTTCACTACAGTATTTAGTCACTTCCCAGTGTGTAAAAGGTCAGACTCTCCATCTTTGAGGTAACTGCATTTATTTGCAGAGTGGAGTGAAACCACTGTGTTTTCAACCAAATTCATTCAAATCACAGAACACCACAATGTGAGATTTGTTGCTTACTGTCTCTCTTGTGCTGATAGTTTCAGTTTTGTTTGAGATGTGCGACTGCAAATTCTGCCAGTCAAAACCAGTGACGAGATGATAAAACCTCATTATTCCGAGTAACTGGGGAAGAACCAGTGACTGTGCCAATTTAAATGATTTATTTCAATGGGTCAAATTTCCAGTGCTATGCAAGTTTATGGGCTGTTTTAACTATAAAGTCATTGGCCACTTTATTAAGTACACCTGTACAATTATATGCACTTCAATACAACACTTCTGCCTTAACATCTGTGCTTATGAAGCTACAACATGTTACAGTTTGTGGTGAAATTGTCATAAACGCATACATTTAATTATGTTTGTTATTGAGGTCATAGTTAACGGTGGTGTTGTACTGGACTACACCATATTCAGAGGTGTTCCTAATATTCTGACTCTCACATGTATGTAGCCGGGGAGGACAAAAATATAGAGACACCTCTGAATATAAAGTAGTTGATTTGAAATGCATACAATTGTACAGGTGTACCTAATAAAGTGGCTGGTGAGTGCATGTAATTGACAGCTAAAAAGAAAAACAACATCACTGATGTAAATGCAGATCGAGGAGCACATAAAACATGTAGGCTTTATGTTTGGTCCAGTAACAATCACATTAAGACACTTTAAGTGGACTTTTGAGTATATCACAGCTGTGCAGGATGTGAGTCACAGTTACCTGAGCTGAGAGAAGACTGAAGAGAAACTGTGACACACACATATTCCAATCTTGCTATTGTGTCTGTTACAAATCCTTCCAGTAAAGCAGTGAATAAATGTGTGGAGTTTGTTTTAATAACTAAAGAAAAAGAGTCAGTGGAAAACAAAAGTGATCTGATGTATTACTGATGATGATGACAATGCAAAGCACGTAGCACCATCCACCACAGTGCTTTTTTCCCCCACACTAAGGGTGCATGTTTCTCAGAAACATGCCACCGAGATGTTGGTGGTTTGAATTGACAAAGATTTTCTGGTGATAGGCGGAGGTGTGATAGAGCCATGACCACACAAACGCTCACAGTTTGTAACATATACACCCATAAATACATGTGAAAGCACGTCAGCAGTACCGCCCACAGTCAAACCCACCAAAGTACATCTCTCTACACTTAGAATAAATATCCAGCCGGGGTCAGGGTCTGTAGTTGAAGCCTCAGCAGCCAGTGTAGCGATTGACATGTCCACCCGACTCCTGTCCGTCACCGTCCTCCTGCTCACAGTGTGTCTGTGCTTCCAGGCTTCTGCAGGCAGCCGTAAGTACCACGACACATTATACTGAGTTGGAGTTTTACTGCAGTCAAACAGATAATGTTTATAGTTATACAGCCGTTAACTGAATGTTTCTCTGGTGACAAACATTGTTGAATGTTTGTCTAACACCTAACACATTTTTAAAAGGCTCCAATAAAATGACTGCATTTAGAGAATGCAGTAAAAACTTTGAGAATGAAAGATCATTAACTTTGTTTTTACAGACAACACACTGATTACTGACACATCCTGCTCTGCATGTCTCTCTCTCAGGGCGTTTCCCCACCAAAGGCAAAGTTCCACTGTGCTGCACCAGGGTCTCCTCTGCCGACATCAGTGCAGATATAATCGGGAAGTACACCATCCAAAAGGCCCGAGGAGAATGTGTGGAGGCTATAATGTAAATTTACACTTCTCTGACACACACACAGAATAATAATCATCAGGGTTAGAAAGTAACTAAGTACATTTACTTAAGTACTGCACTTAATTTTGAGGTTAGCTGAATACTTGAGTATTTCCATTTTCTTTTACTTCACTACATTTCAGAGGCAAATCTTGTACTTCTCACTGCACTGCAGGTATCTCATAATGTTAGTTCCTTTCAGAATCAGATCAGTAAAACCAATACAGTACCATCATAAGACTTTACTCTGGTGGGAAATTCACAAGCTGCCCAGCAGTATTTCATTTGCCCTTTGCCATTTCTCGTTTCAGTTTCCGCACAGCCGAGGAAAAGGTCTGTGTCGACCCCAAAGCCAAATGGGTTCAGAGAGGTAAGTTACTCATAACAACAGTCTACAGGTAGTACTAGACATGGGCACTCAAATAAATATCTGTTCTATATGATATTGAACAGACTGTGCCTTGTGTTCCAGCGAGTGCCAGTGATACTGCTCTGACCCAGTTAGGAAACTAGGCAGCTGTTCTTTTCATTAATGCAAATTGGAGGAAGCTAGCCAGTATTACTTCTCAGATGCTAAGGCTGCTCGTTGCCTCTCAGCAACCAACAAAAAAAATCTGAAGTCAGTGAATCATTATCAGTTGGACAACATAGTTTAGGAGCAGCCAACACGGTTCATATTCAAGTGGTGGTAATTAAAGCAAACGGCGGGCCTAACAGAAGAAATGATCTGTGTCTCTCTGCTCTCTAGTCATTGCAGGTATGGAGAAGCAGTGAAGCATTGCTG